ATGACCCAAATACCCTTGTACTGTCAACTTTAACACTCCCCTTCAAGCTGGAGAATATATATTATATAGTCCCAGCTTGTCACATATGTAATCTACTCTACCCCGAGATATCCCTTTTGTAAAAAGATATGCCCACTAATTTCCTAAACTGACATGAGCTGTGGTTGTCACTCCATTGATCACTTTTTCTCTTACAAAGTGGTAGTTAACTTCAACATGCTTTGTTCTCTCATGGAAGATAGGACTAGAAGAAATGTGGACATTAGCTTGATTATCACAATATAACATCATGGGTTTGTCAATAGAGAATCCCATTTCTTGTAACAAATTCTTCAGCCAAACTAGTCCACATGTAGTATGAGCCATAGCCTTGTACTCAACTTTTGCATTGCTCCTTGCCACTATCGTTTGTTTCTTGCTCTTCCAAGTTACCGGATTGCCACCAAGGATGGTACAATAACCCTTAGTTGACCTTATGTCTGACACAAATCTGGCCCAATCAACATTTGTATATCCTTCCACCTCAATACTTCCTCCACTTTTGTATAATAGGCCACAGCCTAGTGCACCCTTCAGATACCTAACTATCCTTAGAATCGCTTCCCAATGTGGAACCCGAGGATGTTGCATAAACTGACTCACCATACTTATAGCAAGTGATATATTTGGTCATCTGATAGTCAAATAATTCAATTTTCCCACCAACCTCCTGTACCTTATAGGATCATCAAACTCTTCACCAACATCAATACTCAACTTAGTATTCGGTTCCATAGGTGTTTTGGCTGGTTTGGCACCTAACAACCCTGTTTCTTCAAGTAGGTCAAGGGCATATTTCCTTTGACACAAGTTAATTCCATGCCTCGACCTTGCAACTTTTATTCCCAAGAAGTATTTCAACTTACCAAGATCCTTCATGTGGAAGTGATCCTGTAGGAAGTTTTTCAATCTATCAATCCCATTGCTGTCACTGCTAGTTATGACAATATCATCCACATACACCACTAGTAAGATTTTCCCATCTTTTGAGTCACGGCTGAATATAGAATGATCTACTTGACACTATTTCATCCTAAAGTTCTTCACTACTTCACTGAATCTACCAAACAACGCACGTGGAGATTGTTTCCGCCCATAGATTGCCTTTTTAAGTCTATAGACTTTACCATCCTCTCCCTGAACAACAAACCCTGGTGGTTACTCCATATATACTTCCTTAATCAAATCACCATGCAAGAAGGCATTCTTGATGTCAAGTTACAAGAGAGGCCAATCATACATTGCTAGTAATGAAATTAATACCCGAATAGAGCCAATTTTAGCCACAGGAGAGAATGTCTTTGCATATTCAACACCATATAACTGAGAATAGCCCTTGGCCACTAACCTGGCCTTTAGTCGTTTCACACTGCCATCTGGAACTATGTAGACCCACTTACACCCAACAACATGTTTATCGGGAGGGAAAGTAGTAAGTTCCCACATGTGATTGTATTGTAAAGCAGACAATTCCTCTTCCATTTCTTGTCACCACTCTAGAGAGGTAAGGGCTTCCTGGACAGACTTGGGAGTGGAAACAGAGGAAAGCAAAGATATAAATTGGCGATGGGAAGCAGAAAAGTGAGCAACTATGTTTGCCTTTCCGCAAAGCAATAGGAAGATCAAGGTTAGAAGGATGAGGTGTAGACACAGTAGTAACCTGCATTGGAGAAGGTGGGGATGGAACCAGAACCATAAGAAGGGGATCCACAACGGGAACAAGAACCACGGGAAGGGGGTCCTCAACTGGAACAGGAAGTGAAACCACAAGAGCAGGAGAAGGAATCTCAGTAATCAAGAAAAATGGAACCGACTCAAAGAAAGTGACATCCAAACACACAAAGGACCGATGAGAGCTAGGGTTATAACACTTATACCCTTTTTGGGTCTTGGAATATCCAAGGAAGATGCATTTGGTAGGAGTAAGGGGGAAAGGAGAAAGAGTAGGGAACAAGACTGAGAAAGGTGACTAACTTCCAAAGATGGACATGGGCATCCGATTGATGAGGAAACATGATGTCAGGACAACATCACTCCAAAAATGCTTTGGAACACTCATATCAAGCATAATGGACCGAGCAATTTCAAGTAAGTGTCAATTTTTCCGTTTAACCACTCCTTTCTGTTGTGGGGTATAAGAGCAAGAAGTTTGATGAGTTATTCCATGATGCTCTAGGTATTCCTGAAATGGTGTTGAAAAATAGAGAACAATTCACTTCGATCTTTCATAAGGTAGAGCCATGTCATCCTTGAAAAGTCATCAACAAAAATTTCAAAATACTTATAACTATTGCATGACACCACTTTATTTGGATCCCAAACATCTGAATGAAGTAAAGAAAAAGGACTCAAGACACGACTATCAACTCTTAAATTAAAAGAGACTCTATGGTGTTTCCCAAGCTGACACGACTCACAATCCAACAATGGAAGATGACACAAGGACGGAACCAGCAACTTTAGAGCCTTGAGAAATGGATGACCAAGTCTGTAGTGCCATTGAAGAGGAGTAAGAGATGACTGAAAGGCTACCGGCGGACCACCACCATCAAGGTAATACAATCCACCTACCTCATGCCCTCCACCAATCTTCATCCCCATCTTGAGATTTTGAAACACACAAGAAGAGGGATAAAAGGTTATAGAACAATTAAGTGACTTGGTTAATCTACTAACAGACATAAGGTTAAAAGGGAATTTGGGTACATTGTTAGGATAAAGATAAGGTGGTGAGATCAAAATCACCAACACCACAGATGGGAGTGGTAGAACCATTAGCAATGGTAACTATTTGGGATGTAGAAAACTGTGGAAGTGAAGAAAAGACATTTGGAGTCCTAGACATATGACTCAAGGCTTCGGAGTCAATGATCCAGTGTGAGGGTTTGGAAGCCAAGCAAGGCATACCTAAATGGGCAAGAGTAGTTGTAGTTTGCTGAGAGGATATCTAAAGGAACTTCTCATATACCTCATGTGGTACACTCACCATTTCCTTCCCAAAAACACCAATAGATGTGAAGGGAGTCTGCTCATTGGTTTCCACTAATAGTACCATTGCCACTAGTCACAACATGATTAGCCCAATTTTTGGGTGGACCATGTAAATCATAACAGTAATTAATAGTATGTCTTTCTAATCCACCACAGTATGTGCACTTCTTGGGTCCAGTACTTCTTCCTCAACCGTGGCCATCGGTACTGTTAAACATAGGGCCACCCCGGTTCCCTGGAAATCCACGACCACCGCCACCACCTCTATTTCTACAACCTCCACCTCTTGTCACCACAAAACCAGATCTGTCCGAGAGGGAGGAGGACTCTATAGGATCAATAGAAATCTTCCGAAGATGGGCAAACACTTACTCAAGAGAAGGGAGAGCAGAACCACCCAATATTTGTGCTCAAACAAGTTCATATTCAGCTTTTAAACCCACTGGAAACCTTGTCACATCAAGTTGCTCTCGTTGTTGTTGCTGAACTTGAACATCTGGAGTCAAAGGATGATACACATTAAGCTTATTAAGAAGGTTCCTCATGCTTGCATGATATTCTTCTCTTCTTTGATTACCTTGCTTCAAGTTAAAGTACTCTTGGTAAAGTTGATATACTCTAGTGGTATAATCTTGGCCAGAATAGAATTTCTTCACATGGTCCCAGATTTCCTTAGTAGTATCAAGGAACATAAAATTTACACTAATTTTAAGTTCCATGCTATTCCACAGCCAGGTCATAATCTGAGCATCCTCCTTTTCCCAATCACTAAACCCTAAAGAATCAGAAGAAGGTTTCTCCTCTCTCATATGTGTCACCTTTTTCTTGGCTCTCAAAAACCATTTCTACAGATTTATCCAATGGCACATAGTTCTCACCATTTAATTTGATGGAGGTCATCTAAACATTTAGGTAATTAGGGGGAACCATAACACTAGATTTGTGTTTACTACTTTCTCCCATGTCTGATTTTTTTTCCTTCACTCACTTGTATACCAATTACCTCACCACAAAACCCTAACTCACTTTGTTATCCCCCACTTTCAACACCACCGACCTCTTCAAATGCACATCACACACTTAACACTAGAGCTGTAATCAATCAGCCATTAAATCGAACACCTGTACTGCACACTATAGAACTAACCTGTACTTGATTGAACACTTCACCACCCAAACCTGCTCTCTTCGTACCATCGAATAGAGAGCTTCTTAACAAACACCACAAACAGCCTCCGCACCACAAACTAGAGGCAAGAAGGCCTCCTAAAGAGAAAAATGATCACTCCTTTGCAGCCTTTCACTTAATCTCCAAGGTATTCTTGAGAAATCTGTGAAACCCTAGAGAAAACGGCGATAAAAAAAATTGGGCAAATTCGAAAGAAAACGAGCAGATCTGAACTTGTTATATTTGCTTTGATACCATGTGAATAGATCAATTAGCCTTGGATTAGTTCTAGGTGAGAGAAAGAGAAGAAAGGGTTCAGTCTAGAGAAGAAAAAGTTACTCTCTCCTAGCCGACCCACATGTATTTATATTGCATATAAGTTGAATTACAAAAGACTGTATTGTCCCTCATTAAGTATGGGACACAAACATAACAGACTATTCACTCTCAACTAGATAGACAAATGACCAAAATACCCTTGTACTGTCGACTTTAACAATTTCAATTGTCACAGCAATCATAGTTAAGTCATTTTGTTTATGATATATACTACTAAAGTTATTTCTACTTCATTTTATTAATATTATATAATGTTCTAACTATTTTTAGTTTACATTATTAATGATATATAATATTTGAATACAATCCAAGTATAATATGAATTGATGGATGAGAGTTAATTTGAATCTGAAATATTTGCATCCCTAGCAATGCATTTTTTTAGTTGAAGTTATTTTTTTTTCTTGATTAGTCATTTGTTAGTTGAAAATTTTCATTAGATGATATGTTTGCAATTGAACAGGGTAGAAATGCAGATGCATTAGCTGTTTATTTTGGAGAAGATCCAACTAAATGCCCATTTGAGCAAGGTATGACAGAGAGAGAGAGAGAGAGAAAGGAATAGTAGGCATCTTTTCATGCAGGTCCATCTCTATATTTCCAATCACCTAGGCTTGTAATATTCTAGAATCTAAAATGCCTTTTCTTGATATGGAGTTATCAAAGTCTATGCTAATTTCTTAGATTGTTTTCTTATCGTTTATCCTATTGTCCTCCAAGCATTTTCAGTTCTTTGATTAATCATAATGAAAAGAAAACAAAAAAATATTGGTTCTTTAGTTATCTTTTTTCTATTGAATGATAACTTGGAGATATTAAAAAATAAAGAAAGAGAAATTGTGGTGGATCATTTTCCAGTCACTAGAGGAATTAAACAAGGGCACCCTTTCTATCCTTTCCTCTTCACATTAATTGTTGAAGTTTTGGGAAATTAACTGCTGGGGCAGATTCTAGAAACCTAGTGAGGGGTGGAGAGTTGGAAGGATAGTGTTCCAATCACTCATTTATAGTTTGCAAATGATACTATTGTTTTGTGAAGTAGAAAATGTTTGGTAGGTTAGGATTTTGAAGTTGGTAGCTCAATTATTTGAGTAAATATCGAATCTAAAAGTCAATTTTGATAAGAGCTGCGTGGTTAGGGTTAATATGGATGAGGGGGGGTGGCAGATAGGGTAGATACTTTGGGATATGGGGTCTCTCATTGGCCATTAACTAATTTGCTTGTTTATTTCCTATACATTTTTAAATACCAGAAGGGGTGAGTAGAAGTTTGGAAAAGTTGATGAGCAAGTTTCTGTGGGAAACAGGGGAGGAAAAAAGAGAACATAGAGTCAATTGTGAGGTGGTTAATAGATGTAAAAATGTTGGTGGAGTAGGCATAGGAAGTATTCAAAAAAGAAGTAGGAACATGGTTATGGAGATTGACAATTGATAAGGACAAATTGTAGGCCATGGTGATTCTAAGTATTTATGGGCAAGCAGCTAATGGCTGGGATGTGGGAGTGTTGGCTAGGGCACAAGAGCTTCTACTTGGAAATCTATTCATGCCATCCTACCATCATCCTTGGCTTTTATCAAGCATGACTTATTTCTAGAAACCTTGTAAAATTTTGGAGCATGTTTGGGTGGGGGGTTCATCATTGAAAGAACAATATCCTTGTATTTCCCTGTCAAGGTTTAAAAATGAGCATGTATCCACTTTTCTGGTTCCTTCTGACTCAAGTTTTGAGTTTGAATGGAATATGGGTTTTAGAAGGGGTCTCAGAGACTTTGAATTAAACAATATTTCAGCCTTGATTCCCTTACTAGAAGGGGTGCTGTTAGATCCTTCAGGAGGGTTGGGAGG